GCAGCATGACCTTAACTAAGACGTCACAGACTGCCCCTGTTTGTTGAGGTCGTAAAATGATTCACAATGCATCTGGCTCACTGGTTACAACTGTTATGTGCTTTGTGCGCTTATTCAGTGTAGTTTTGTAACGTACAATGTGATTGATATAATATTACGTCCGTACAAGACCGCCAAACGTTTCTAGCGACAGAGCCTCGTTTTGAGATTTCCACGATTTCCGGGCTTCCGTTTGTCAGAGCTCGCTGTACGACAGAGCACGCTGCACGACGTGTTTGCAAGGATTAGAAGGAGCGTAGTGTTGCAATATACAGGTGGTTAGATGTATCAAATAATACTGATTGATATTTATGTATCCAGCTAAATGAATTGGTCTAAAAATTCTGGGCTGGTTATTGTATTTAGTTGCGCAATAGGACGGAACCCAGTCACCAGGAAACGAGACTCTTGTGTAATCAATGTTTTGACTTGGCATGGTATCTCAGTGAGCTAGCACTATAAAACCAGCTTAAGTCTGGGCTAGTACAAGTAGCCACACGTATACACACGCATGCACGTCGTCAAAATATTCTCAAGCACGACGTAATCCCTCACCTTCCCATAGTCACAGTCACACATAGGGTAATTACTAAGGCACAAACAGTACTAACCATACTCCTTATGATAATCATTGTCACACATAGGGTAATTACTGTGGTACAAACAGTACTAACCACATTCCTTCCGGTAATCACTCTCACACATAGGGTAATTACTGTGGTACAAACTGTACTAATCATACTTCTTCCGGTAACCACTGTCACACATAGGGTAATTACTGTGGTACAAACCGTAATAACCATACTCCTTCCGGTAATCACTGTCACACATAGGGTAATTACTGTGGTACAAACAGTATTAACCGTACTCCTTCCGGTAATCACTGTCACACATAGGGTAATTACTGTGGTACAAACAGTACTAACCATACTCTTTCCGATAATCACTGTCACACATAGGGTAATTACTGTGGTACAAACAGTACTAACTATACTCCTTCCGGTAATCACTCTCACACATAGGGTAATTACTGTGGTACAAACAGTACTAACCATACTCTTTCCGATAATCACTGTCACACATAGGGTAATTACTGTGGTACAAACAGTACTAACTATACTCCTTCCGGTAATCACTCTCACACATAGGGTAATTACTGTGGTACAAACTGTACTAATCATACTTCTTCCGGTAACCACTGTCACACATAGGGTAATTACTGCGGTACAAACCGTAATAACCATACTCCTTCCGGTAATCACTGTCACACATAGGGTAATTATTGTGGTACAAACAGTATTAACCATACTCCTTCCGGTAATCACTATCACAAATAGGGTAATTACTGCGATACAAACCGTAATAACCATACTCCTTCCGGTAATCACTGTCACACATAGGGTAATTACTGTGGTACAAACAGTAATAACCATACTCCTTCCGATAATCACTGTCACACATAGGGTAATTACTGCGGTACAAACAGTAATAACCATACTCCTTCCGGTAATCACTCTCACACATAGGGTATTTTACTGTGGTACAAACAGTACTAACCATACTCCTTCCGGTAATCACTGTCACACATAGGGTTATTACTTTTGTACAAACAGTAATAACCATACTCCCTCCGGTAATCACTATCACACATAGGGTAATTATTGTGGTACAAACTGTAATAACCATAATCCTTCCGGTAATCACTATCACACATAGGGTAATTACTGTGATACAAACAGTAATAACCATGCTCCTTCCGGTAATCACTATCACACATAGGGTAATTATTGTGGTACAAACCGTAATAACCATACTACTTCCGGTGATCACTATCACACATAGGGTAATTACTGTGGTACAAACAGTAATAACCATACTACTTCCGGTAATCACTCACACACATAGGGTAATTACTGTGGTACAAACAGTAATAACCATACTCCTTCCGATACTCACTGTCACACATAGGGTAATTACTGTGGTACAAACAGTACTAACTATACTCCTTCTGGTAATCACTGTCACACATAGGGTAATTACTGTGGTACAAACAGTACTAACCATACTCCTTCCGGTAATCACTATCACAAATAGGGTAATTACTGTGGTACAAACCGTAATAACCACACTCCTTCCGGTAATCACTGTCACACATAGGGTAATTACTGTGGTACAAACAGTAATAACCATACTCCTTCCGGTAATCACTGTCACACATAGGGTAATTACTGCTGTACAAACAGTAATAACCATACTCCTTCCGGTAATCACTCTCACACATAGGGTTATTAATGTGGTACAAACAGTACTAACCATACTCCTTCCGGTTATCACTATCACACATAGGGTAATTCCTATGATACAAACAGTAATAACCATGCTCCTTCCGGTAATCACTATCACACATAGGGTAATTATTGTGGTAGAAACCGTAATAACCATACTACTTCCGGTGATCACTATCAAACATAGGGTAATTACTGTGGTACAAACAGTAATAACCATACTACTTCCGGTAATCACTGTCACACATAGGGTAATTACTGTGGTACAAGCCGTAATAACCATACTCCTTCCGATAATCACTGTCACACATAGGGTAATTACTGTGGTACAAGCCGTAATAACCATACTCCTTCCGATAATCACTGTCACACATAGGGTAATTACTGTGGTACAAACAGTTATAACCATACTCCTTCTGATAATCACTGTCACACATAGCGTAATTACTGTGGTACAAACAGTTATAACCATACTCCTTCTGATAGTCACTGTCACACATAGCGTAATTACTGTGGTACAAACAGTTATAACCATACTCCTTTGGAGAATCACTGTCACACATAGGGTAATTACTGTGGTACAAACAGTTATAACCATACTCCTTTGGAGAATCACTGTCACACATAGGGTAATTACTGTGGTACAAACAGTTATAACCATACTCCTTCCGATAATCACTGTCACACATAGGGTAATTACTGTGGTACAAACAGTTATAACCATACTCCTTCCGATAATCACTGTCACACACAGGGTAACTACTGTGGCACAAACAGTAATTACCACAATCTTCCTATAATCACTCTCACACACGGAGTAATCTTGTCACCTTCTCTATAAATTAGAGGTTGTTACTATGATTTGAAACTTCCGATTAATCATATTGCAGGAACTGTAATGGTAACATGTTATTCCAATCTTTGGTGTTTTTGTCTGGTCTCATATCTGAAGTTCCTCCACACAGCTTGTGGATGTGATGTTGGGGTATACAAGTATTATCTTGTATTTCACATGTTCTCAGTTCTATGTGGATATAGGTTTGTGTGGAACTAAAACCTACTATGTACATCAGAATGATGGTCTTATTTAGTTACTGTTTTTAAGCTAGATATGTCTGTGACTTGTATATCATTAGGAGATACAAATAGTGTTTGTAATGAAGAGCTAGGCTACAAGCGCCATTCTGAATTAGGAACCGAGTGCACTGTTACATAATAACCGGGATTGAGTCCACGGGTAACTTATATCTACATTAAACACACGGTATCCTCCAACTATGACACTGTTGGCTGTAGGGAAGATATTGAGTATTGAATGCTTTGTCAGTCTTTGCAGATTCTGATAGGTCACTCAGAGGCTACAAACCAATATAACCACTTCTGGATGAAACAGCTGAATTTATAAAAAAGCTTCTCAATATCATAGTAGGTAAACCTTTTGGCAATAATGCTATGTCCGCCGTACACTTGTGGGTTACAGAATGCAGGGTTACAGCTGTCGTGTTACACAGCTGGCTTGACAGTGGCTGTGTTACACAACGTGTCATGCTGGCTTGACAGTGGCTGTGTTACACAACGTGTCATGCTGGCTTGACAGTGGCTATGTTACACAGTGTGTCATGTTGGCTTGACAGTGTCTTTCTTACACAGTGTGTCATGTTGGCTTGACAGTGGCTGTGTTACACAGTGTGTCATGTTAGCTTGACAGTGTCTTTCTTACACAGTGTGTCATGTTGGCTTGACAGTGGCTGTGTTACACAGTGTGTCATGTTGGCTTGACAGTGTCTTTGTTACACAGTGTGTCATGTCGGCTTGACAGTGACTGTGTTACACAGTGTGTCATGTTGGCTTGACAGTGTCTTTGTTACACAGTTCGCCATGCAGGCTTGACAGTGGCTGTGTTACACAGTGTGTCATGCTGACTTGACAGTGTCTTTGTTACACAGTGTGTCACGCTGGCTTGACAGTGGCTGTGTTACACAACGTGTCATGCTGGCTTGACAGTGGCTGTGTTACACAGTGTGTCATGTTGGCTTGACAGTGGCTATGTTACACAGTGTGTCATGTTGGCTTGACAGTGTCTTTCTTACACAGTGTGTCATGTTGGCTTGACAGTGGCTGTGTTACACAGTGTGTCATGTTGGCTTGACAGTGTCTTTCTTACACAGTGTGTCATGTTGGCTTGACAGTGGCTGTGTTACACAGTGTGTCATGTTGGCTTGACAGTTGCTGTGTTACACAGTGTGTCATGTTGGCTTGGCAGTGGCTGTGTTACACAGTGTGTCATGTCGGCTTGACAGTGGCTGTGTTACACTGTGTGTCATGTCGGCTTGGCAGTAGCTGTGTTACACTGTGTGTCATGTCGGCTTGGCAGTAGCTGTGTTACACTGTGTGTCATGTCGGCTTGGCAGTAGCTGTGTTACACTGTGTGTCATGTCGGCTTGGCAGTAGCTGTGTTACACTGTGTGTCATGTCGGCTTGGCAGTAGCTGTGTTACACTGTGTGTCATGTCGGCTTGGCAGTAGCTGTGTTACACTGTGTTTCATGTCGGCGTGGCAAGGTGGACACTCTTAGTTTGAATAACGCGGACAAGGTTGTCATCCAACCAAAACTATTGATAAGAAAAACGCAACAGGTGATGAACTATTCATCAGATAGAAAGATAATAAGAAAAGATGACAGAAGAAAGCAACTTCAATAAGTTAGTTAAGAAAACATAAGAACATGAAACAAAACCTGTCTGGATGTACAAATGATTATTATCATGACATACTAATGCAGCAACGGCACAACCGGGCTCATCATCAGCTCAGGATCTTGTCCTACCACCTGCAGCCCTGACACCGAGTGGTACTTCTCCGCTATCTTGTCAAATCCGCAAAGTCTTTCTGGAGGATGTGAATCTCTCTTCTTCCCCACTCCCATCCCCTTCCTCCTCTGTCTCCTACACTACAGCCATCTTTATTAGCCAGACAGTGAGAAGAGCCGTGTTCCTGGACAAACACGGGTAGTTCCGCTGTGTCAGCCAAGCCGAGATATTGGGCGGTACCGAACCAAATGGGGAGTCTAACAATTTCGTATGTAGTCGTTATATGGCATTTAGAAGTGTCAGTACTGTTGCTGTTCTTCCTCCTCTTCTTCTTTAAAACTGGATGTAGGTCACAGTCGAAGAAGCTAGATCACACTGGAAACAACCAATCCTAACCACACGGCACCTTGCATCAGTTAAACGAAGCTGGAAGCAAATTGTTTCCATTGGATTTTTTTATTTGTGTTTGTACTATTGACTTAAATGGGTCAAATTGCAATCCGCAGTTTGGCGTCATGATGCGTTCTTCGTGTTTTTAAAGTGTTGAATCGAATCACTAACTAGACAACATGAAATCACTTTAAAGGAATAGCAGAGTATTTATGTGAAAGAGGACCTATAATTTTGTTGTCGACTCGGGAACTGCAACAATAGCTACTAAGATTGGTATGGAACGATAACAAGTTTTGTTTGGACCTTTTAATGATTTTAGCCTACAGTCGTTTTGAGGTAAGGGGATTACGATTGCGGGAGAAGCCTAAGGCTGAGAATTTACAACAATGGTAGCGTTTACATTGTTTTGTGCAAACGATGCTAGACAATTAAGCATGAAAAGACATATAATATAAGACGAGTATATGGATGACAACTCTTATTTATTGTATAACACGACGTTTCTGGGCTACTTCTTGCCCCTTGTTCAGGTGATAGAAAGACAGGAGTACAAATCATACTGTATATACCAGAATTTACGTCGTGTTATACAATAAATAAGAAGTTGTCATCCATGTACTCGTCTCATATATTCATAAACGTCTAAATGCCTCTCAAGAATCTCATGAATAGACATGTTAAGACTACATCATGTAATGTTAAGACATAGTATTTTGTTGTCAACAGGCAGACAACTAAAACTACCTAGATAGCAAACTGCGACATTTCCTCCTCCTCAGCTTCTGCCTGGGCAGCTGCGACCACCTTCTCACGTTGGTCCTGAGCAATAGCGCGCATGCGTTGCATCTGTAGTTCTCTCTCAGGGTTCGGAGGTGGAAGTGCAGCTTGCATTCCCCTCTCAATCTGTGACAGTCTGGCTTGAACTCTCTCGTGCATATCTAACTGCTTTTCTTTTACCTTTTCTTGGATTGCATGTTGTGCTTTCCTTGCCCCCTCCATCAGTTCACTGTGTTTCTCTTTTATCAAATCGGATTCAGTTTCTGGATTTAAAGCAATCAGCTCCCCCAAGCCTGATATTTTATCCATGAGGTGATCTCGCGAGATGTCAACATATGTTCCTGAAACCTCATGGACCACATATGAAACTTCACTGGCTTGGACTGCCTGTGAATAGAGTGTATCCTGCATCAGCTTGCTGAAGGAGTAATTCAGCTGTAGTTCCCTTCCAACATTGGCTGTTTCAGTAAATGTGTCCAACGTTGGGCCAAGGCTGCACTGAATTACATTGGACATTCTTTCAAAGAATGTAACCAATCCACCCCATTGTTTGCGAACCTCTCCAAGTGCTTTTATACCTCTAGTGAGAGTTTCTCTTATCTTGTTAAAGTCTATTTCCTTGGCATCCATCTGGGACAATTCTTCAACAAGTTTCATCAACTCATCATTTTTCCTTTGCACTCTTTGGTTAATTTCGTCATAACGGGCTTCGGCAGTCTTCAACATCTGCGATGTTTTTTCAGCCTTAAATCTGACTTGGTCAATTATTCTGTCTTCTATTTCAAGAGAATTTTGTTGGGCTTTAGCAGCTTGTGGTGCTTGGGCGAGAGGATGTCCTGCTCTCATATCAGTTATCTCCACACACTCCATGGTGTGTTCAACCTTGTCAAGCTTTTGTCTGAACTCAGTAATCATTTCTGGATTTTGACCCATTTGCTTGGAGAAGTCAATCATGGAATCCATCAGTGTTGTGAGATCCTGCAGCAGACTCAGCATCATTGCCTTCGGAGGAACATCACACTTATCCTTGAGAGTTGTTGTGAATCTCTCCAGATCTGCCTTTTTAACAACAAGATATTTCTTGGTACCTTCTTGCTTGTTCTTGTCTTCAAATGATTCCAGATACTGTTGTAGAAAAGAAATGATTAAGGTGATCTCGGGTGTTTGTTTTTTTATGCATTCAATTGTTTCCCGTTCGCTGTCACTCAAAGGCTTTTCATGTTCTGAAGGATCTGCCTCTGTCTTTGATTTAAGCTTGTCTAACACGCCACTTACCACGGGTGTCAATAGTTTCACTCCTGTTCCAATAGCTTGTGGTATTCCAATCATCAGGTTCATCTCTGCTTGAATAGCCATGAGCACTGCTCCTGAATACCTGTCAAAGAACTTCATCCCCATGACTTGAAGCGCTCCCGGCATGTCATCCAAGGCCTTCTTGTAGTCTTCCTCACGATCTTTCAGAGTTTTGGTCATGTGTGCCAGTTCTTCGTCTGCCTTTGTTTTCTGTTCCTTGATTTGAGTCTCAGCTCTTTTGGCGGCTGTAACTGCAGCTTCAGTTTGCTTCATTTTGTCCTCATAATCGCCCTTGGCAGCTGTGCACGCCTCCAGCAGTTCTCCTATTGTTGCCATCACGTCAACAAACTGCTTCTGGACCTCCTCCGCATGGGTTGTGCATTGTTTAGCAGCCAACTGAATCCTCTTAAGAGGGATTGGTAATGCAAGTTTAAGTTCTTCTGGTGAGCCTTTCAATAAAATCTGAAATAGATGTTGTGGACTATTAGATGTTAGTGATAAATGTGTGCAGAGATGTCTAACATCAGTTACATCAACTAACTGGGGCTGCAATGACGACATGATTAATATAGAACATTTACAAATGTTTTAAGTATTAGGGCAACTGTACCTGGACTGCATTTCGTGCATGGCCTGGAATCTGATTAGTGATCAGGTGTATTTTCTCCATGTTGGAATGTGCTGTGTTAAAGGCCTCCCAGCCTTCATTGCTGACTTGAACCAGACAAGCATTCATGGAGTCAGGGTAGCGAAGACGGACAAACGATGAATCCGGCCTTTTTCCTGTGACCAAGGTGAAGTCTGTACCACCAGAGATGAGCATCAGTTGCCCCAGCAGTGCAATAGACATCGGGGCAGGGCCTATGATCTCCTCCCAGTTTATACTTGATGATGCACAGATCACTCGGTCATTCTGAAATAGCAACAGGCTATTTCATTCAACCTGCACTTGTTTGGGTTGTATAACCTATTTATCACAGGTACTGTCACATGGTATCTGTATGGTGTTAACACAGCATATTGGGAGGATGATAAACAAATGTGTTTACAAGATACTGATAAAAGTGGTCGTACAAACCACACTGTTGGTACTGTTAAGGGGCTCAGGTTTATTGAAATTTCAATAGGGTGTGAGTGGCATTATTTATATGTCATATTAATATAAACTGGTTTCATGTTTTGCACATCTCTAACAGTGGACGACATAATGGTATACTCTATGCAGTTGCTAGTATACTCTTGTTGTGTGTTGACAAGAGATCTATGTGTTTATAAAGAAACACATAGCAGCTGTTTACTTGGTAATTTTATGTTCGAAGATGTTAGCATGATATACTGACTGACTGACTGAGTTTTGGCTTTACGCCGCTTTTAGCAATATTCCAGCAACATCACGGCGGGGGACACCAAAAATGGGCTTCACACGTTGTACCCATGTGGGGATTCGAACCCGGGTTTTCGGCGTGACGAGCCAACGCTTTAACCACTAGGCTACCCCACCGCCCCAGCATGATATACAGTCAAATGTAGTGTGATAACAGTAGAGCCTTAACCAAGTGGCCTAGTGAAAATACCTGCATACTTGTGGCATAAGCGATTTCAACCAATTCCCAACACTAACTTGTGGTATAAGAGATTTCAACCAATTCCCAACACTAACTTGTGGTATAAGAGATTTCAACCAATTCCCAACACTAACTTGTGGTATAAGAGATTTCAACCAATTCCCAACACTAACTTGTGGTATAAGAGACATTATTACAATGGTTTGAAAGTCTTTTTATGGTCGAGAAACAAAATAATAGTTATCAACGGATGTTAATCAAAATCAATTCTTCACTGGCTGGAGAACCATAGCACTAGTAGTAAATACAATGATAGCCCGAGATCACTTTCAAGAAAGGTCGCTGTAAAGCTTTATTTCACAAATGCAGAGTTACCTATTAACCTCTCACCTATTTCCCTGCGTGAGAATCTACGCCTTATAAGCCTCAAGTACATTGATCGATCATTAAATGAAGCTCAATTAGAAAATATCTCATAAAATATATTATATGCACACAGGATGGACCTGTACCCAGTCGTAGAGGAAGTCACGAAGACCCTGGAAACCATAGACGGGTTCCGCTTGAGACAGTTATGTGATGTAAAACACCAGCTAGAACAAGACCGCGACACGCGGAAAGCACTATGCAAGAAGTACCATAGAGCTTTCAATATCGTGGATGGAGCTGATACTGTCCTTACAACAACCAGCATGGGACTAGGTGCGGCAGGTGTTGGGTTGTTAGCCACCGTCGTGGCCGCACCTATAGTGCTAGGCATTGAAATAACAGCTGGGGTGGTAGGGGTGGCAGGGTTGGTGTTTAAGGCATCGTAAGGCATCGAAACACGATGAGATCAGGGTTCTGGCCGAAGCAAAGCTGAACACGGTAAGTGAGCGTATTTCCACAGAACTCACTGACACTAAGATCTCAGAGGAGGAATCTCGTTCAATCCTCTCAGAACTCGACAAGTACCGTAAGATGAAACAAGAAATCCGATCCAAGTCTCATAAGTCTTCTATCAGCGACGACGAGAAAAAAAAGTACATAGAACAGGGGGTACGAAAAGCCCAGCAAGCCTTCATTAAGAACACCAAAGAGATCATAGGCGATTCACATTAAACTGTTTCATCGAGGTCAACACGACATAGTGGCACGTGATCAGGGTCGCCATCATAGTGACCGGGAAAGTGCTAGTTCACGGTCATAGTGACCGGGGAAGTTAACTGGGGATTCAAAGTAGTACATACGATGGTGGCGAGGTCTAAGGGCCTGACAAAAGCTTTATTTGTGAAATACTTCAACTTCAAACTTTGCACATGTCTAACCTGTCTTTATTTGTGAAATAAAGCTTTACAGGAACCTTTCTTGAAAGTGATCTCGGACTATCATTGTATATACTACTGTACTTCTTTCTGTTTCCATAGTAACTGCATCCGATGACATTGTTGGAGCTGTATTACACGTAGGCCTTTATCTGCTTCTCACCGAAGGGTTCGGTCAACGAACCAAACCCATCAAACTCGCCAAACCAAATCGGCGCCCGGTTCCAGCAAATGGCGACTGCTGTGCAGGCAAGTCTCCATTGAAATCGCAAGCTCAGCACCTACTCTAAAACATAGAGTGGAGTCTGGGAGTATGTGCCACTGACTGAGCATCGACAGATATATTGTTTTCAAATTGTTCTCTTTTGTTTTGTTTTGTTTTAATAATGTGTTCAGAATTGAATATTTTGCATCAGATCGTTTTACTAAACGCCGCTATTCTGTTTGAATGCTTTATATGTGAGGTATGATACAAAGGCAGTTGTTTGTATGTTTTATTTTTCTACATATTATCTGTCAGCCTCAAGCAAATTGGTTTTGCTATGTTGCAGCCTCCCGATCCCCATTTTGTGAGACTTTGTATCTTGGCTTGGTACTCCCAAAAAACGTAAAATCTGCAATAAAATGCATCACAAACTTCAGGAAACAAAATATGCTATGTTTGAGATTGGTAGAAGTCGGCTAGAATCAAACATAGATATTAAACTTCACAAAAACGCAATTTCAAAACTACAATCGCTTGTTCAAATGACTCCCCATTCTGTTTACTGAAAGAACTCGAGAAAGAAATGATGGATTTTGTTTAATTTTGGTACCAATGTTTATTGACTGGAGATTGGAGAATTACCGACACCACTTGAATTTAGTGACCTTGAGGTCCTTTTAAAGGTCACAGCGAAGGTGTAACAGTTTTGCACATGCCAAGCTTGGTAGCCGCGAACTCAGGAAAGTATTAATGGATTTTGATCCAACTTTATATGAAGGTGTATTGGCGGGATTCCCCCAACACCAATTGATTGGGAAACTTGTGCTCATTATAAGTTCACAGTGAAAAGTGTTTTGCACATGTCTAACTTTTTAGTGCGAAAATACAAGACAGAATTAATATGTTTTGCTTAAAGGTAGTACCAACATGCGTTGGGAGTATTGTCTAACGCCAGTCCAATTCAGTGACCTTCGGATTATTTTCAAGGTCACAGCCAGTATTCTTGTGATATATCCAAACCTAATGGATTGAATTTGTTCGCATTTTGTATCAAGGCATCAGATGACAGTTTCGGTAACGTTTACATAATTTTCAGGGTCAGACATAGGATAATTGCGACATTCAGATATCGACATGTGGCGGGGGTAATAGCTATGTTTGTGACAAACGCTTTGTCATTACTAATTTTCAAATTTTTGTTAGCATATGGTTTCTATAATTTCATGTTTATTCTACCAGTTGTGAAATTTTTCGTGACACGTCTTAAAAAAGACAGAGAATATTTGTGTATGTTTAAAGTTAATTGTTTTTCATTATGGAGTTATTTTTTATGTTGACGCAAGGACATATTTTACGAGCAAAAGCTTTCAATAATTTAATGTTATTTCTATTACATTTTGAAGTTCTTCATAGCGTATCCCAAAATAACAGGATATTGATAGTTTACGCTTTGAATTATTTTCAATGTTGACGCAATGACATATTTGAAGTTAATTTAATGTTTTAATCATATGTGATCTATTATGATTTATGTTTCGATCATACATTCATATATTGCGTTGTCATAGAGGATATCATAAATCGCTGGCGCCTGGTTATTCCTTGTCACATAGCAGTCAATCTGTCTACTCATTTGTTGTATTTGATTGATGCATATAAAATAAAATGTAGAAATGATAAAGGAATCAATCGGATGTGCTCGTTATCAAAGTAAAGTCTAAACTTCTTTCTGTAAGGTATACAGTGGAAATTGACACCTTAATTGTTATGGGTAGACCAAAGAAATCATTTATTTATTTTCACCGCTCAAAATACAACAAAGAATTCAACGGATGGCATTTACCTCAAAGAATGATCATAACAATGCTTATAACATACGAGGGCAAACATATCGGGGATAATTTGTTTTCATGTGATATGCACCGGGTGAAATATCACTTTTTCATGGTGACATGACATCATGAACAATGTTATGACGTCACGTTGCTTCTAAGAAGCTGCTTTCTAAATACAACGATGACGGGGAGCCTGCCATTGTTGGAAAGTAGATTATCGCGTAATTTCCGCCATTAAAGACTTCGGTAATAAATAGAAAATTATATTCGTGACCATAATATGCTAGGCTAACGACCTAAATATCGGCATATCCCTTCTCTGGTTCCGAAAATACCAAGACAATTACCAACGTCCCAATAGTGTCCATATATTTTTAGAAATCTATAACAATAAAGCACAACCTCACTACATTTTTTTATAAATGACAAAGGGTTATTCAACCATATTAAAAGGTTTTCAGGCTTGAAGGACGAAGCTTATTAAAATCTATTGCCAGCTCCCTTTTAGAGTCTGATAAAAGGTTCGAAAATGTGGGTCATAAATGCATGAACGTTTTTATTGTTGTTCATACCCGTTGGGCCTCCCGCCTCTGCATGTATTTCAGATAAAACCGTTAGAACCACCACCACCCCCTCTATGTCTTAAAGTATGCTAGATATAACCGTTAGAACACACCCCACCACTTTTCTGCCCATTAATTCAATTGGGCTAAATCATAGTTGAGAGTTGCTTCTATGGATTTTACATATTTTCCCGCAACACCGATTGATGTGTCATCGGCCAACGTTATTGTGATATTTTGTAAATTTCCAGGTAAATTATTGATATATACAAGGAACACAAATTAACCAAGGCAGATCCTTGAGGAACCCCGGCAGTAACATTTAGTTTTTCAAAATGTTCCATTAACAGAGACACACTGTCGTCTAGTTAGTTCACCAACTAAGTACGTTTCCACGAACACCATCATTTCCTAATTTGTGCAATAAACCTTTATGCCCTG